CCTTCTAAAATAATGAAACAACAGTCTTACCTTCGGGAAAGGACTATAAACTCCTTAAAAGAACCGTTAAGTCACTCCAATAGGTGGTTCTTGAGAAAACCAAGGACCACCTGTGACAACGTCTCTCCTGACTTCAAAGAGAATTAAGAAGTCTTAACGCTTCACTTGAGATAATTAAAGTCACGAAATTTCCTGATATTACAAAAGATGCTAATGAAATCCAGAATGATCGGTGGGAAAAAGTTAAATGAATTGATTATCCAGACCATTTTACATTAGAATCGGTTAAGGAGAGATTGGATATTTATGATATATCTACTCCACCCAATTATCAGACTCTTGCCGATGTCATGCTAATGCTTTGTATCTGTCCCGCTGAACTTACAACTTTACACATTACAGATGCTGAAGTAACAGGTTATGCAAAGAACAGGGAGCAACTGGATATTCCTAGAAAATTTAGATCTATGGAAAAGAATCAAGAACGAGCTAAAGAATTACTCATCTGAATACAAAATGCTATATCTTCTGGTCGAATTGGTAACCCAGATATTCCTGGAACTAAATAGTTCAATAGATTCTTAAAAGAATATGATCTGGTTCCTAAATACTTACGAAAAATAGGAACGGTTTACGGTGCAGTAGTACATAAAGCTGATAGCACAGCCCGTACTATGACAATCGCTGGAGAATATCTAAGACACGACCCACATAATTTTACTTCTCCAGTACAAAACTATGTTGTAGTGATTTATCAGAAAAAAGGACAGACTCCAGAGTAAGCAAGACCATTTCATCTCTATAATGATGATAATTAATTACGCTTCTTTACTTTTATTGCAGAGCAAGCCGAAGGCGACCCTAAAGGGTCATGGCTTTCACCTATCACACCCTCAGTAAAAAACTTTATCATAATTAGACGATTCAGAGCCAGATTATTCAGACCCCGACTCAGGTGAGGATTCCTTAAGTTTTATTTTTTCTGCTTTAACGACATTGATAATTTCCATAATTTTAGTTTTAGATAAGCCATTCTTGGAGACGAATTCAGCCCTGGAGCTAGAATCAGATTCCGAACCAAAATCAGATAAGGACTCAGATGCAGTATCGTTGAGAATAGTCATGTTTGTAACTTTGCATTTTCTTTTAGCCTTATATGGGATGCGTCGAGAAATGCCCTGCTTTACTATTGAGTTTATAATATCTTGCTTGATCGCAGGCTTCACTATCTCCAGTAATTGGCGGAGAGAAATCTAGATTTTTTTACCTGATACTTGCTCAACGATGTTGGATACCGCTCGATTGGTAATATTTGATAGACTTTTATCTATTTCCAATTCCAATTCTTTCGCAATATTATAACTGATAATTGGACAATCTGAACTCGAATCGCAAACCACTTCTGTATCCCTACCATTAACTGATATAGATATTTTTTTCATTGATTCTATTAGCGATGTGATTTTATCACCATCCTCTTGTAGACCCAAAGGGTCGTGATTCGAAGTATCAGCTAAAGGCTTGTTTTGCAATAATTTTCGATGAATCAATTCAGTATTGTTATTAGCTTCGACCATTGTATATTTTGAATTAATTTTTATTAATACAGAGTAAAAAAATACATTATTGAATATATAATTAAATTTAGAACTACGATGATAACTTTATCTTGCGAAATCAGTAAAGTACCAGTTATAGTTATATTAGATTCCGGTGCTGATCGTAATATTATAGGTAAGAAAGTAGTAAATAAGCTTGGTTTAAAAACCAATGATAACTCTGATGTAGAAGTATACAACCTCATTAGCAAGTTCGATGTAGTAGGGGTGATTCACGAAATAGAAATTTCAATACCGTCTTAAGACCCTAAACAAGTTAAAGTTACGGATATTTTTGTTGTTAATAGTCCTGAACATGCACTGATATTAGGTTAGCCATGGTTTAAAGATAATGCAATGGAATTGGACTTCCCAAATAAAATTCTTACACTCCTTGATGGAACTGCTATACCATTAGTTATTGGATCAGGAATTCCATCACCTACACAACACAATCAGTTCGTAAATGATTATTTCAAGATGATAAAGATATATGCTACAGCATTAGGTATCGACTTAGATAATCAAGGCCTTAAGGAAAATTTCTTTAATGGCCTATCGCTAGATAATAAAAAAGAAGCAATTCGATTCGGCGTTAAAAAATCCCTGAATGAAATGGTCGAGCATCTAAATAGAATCTCATCTGTACCTACCGATATAGAAAAGTCACCATTCGGGTCTTTGAAACAAGGTAATGATTCGATAATGGATTTTTACAGAAAAGTGAAAAAATATTATAAATTACTCAGGAATGTTGAAGAGCTTCATCTTAAAAATCATTTTATCCGTAGGTTGTCACGCGATAATTAACTAGAAGCCAGAAGATGCGAATTGGACCTCCCATTAGATGAGCTAGTAGCAAGGTTAAGCGCATTGGAAAATCTCACTAACCAAGATAAGTAGGATAATGTGTAATTAATTCATTTCGAGATTTTTTTCAGTTGTAATATTTCCAATTAGATACACTAACCATAACTACAAATATGTCTGATAAAAAAATTCCGGTATCTACACAAGCTAATCTTTCTATAAATGGGAAATGTCTCAAAAATGTTTTTATTGCAGGATTAAATTCCGATAACCAGCCAGTAGCTGAAAAATACGGAGAGGGTCTTCCATTAGAAAAGTTGGTAAAACTGCTGATTAGAAATGAAATATCCGCTAAGTTTGATTCACCTCCTCCATATCACCCATAAAATTCAATGTCCTCCCCTAAAAAAATAATTATCCGAACATTAGTTGTTTTTCCGATTAAAGATATATAATAATACATTACTCGAGAATGGTGCAACTATTACGGAGCAATGACCCAAAGGGTCTAAATTATACTTGCACACAAAATTATTTTGGGGTCCCGAAATTGCAATTTCGGGGAAAAAAGTCGAAATAGTTTTTCATAGAAGACGAAATTATTTTACTTAAAACCTGAAATTTTTTGACCACCCAGATTTATTCTTTGATTAAAGATACATATAACTAGGTACTTTTTTTACTTCCATATATAGAATAGATTTTGCATAAATCTCAAAAAGTCGAAATACCTCAAAAATCCAAAATCAATTTTGGGAACATATATAGTCTAAATATTTTTGATTTACCTGAAATACTAGAACAGATCTTATATTTTTTAGAAATCTATCAATCCCTCTATCCTGCTTTATTTGTTAACCACCTTTGGTATCACTGCGGTACTCCTATTCTATGGCGTCGCGTTGAGTTTTTCAACAAAGATTATCAGCAGAGTCAGCGTGCCCTAAACATGTCTCGGGTTCTTACTCGGTGATTGATAAACTTTGAAAGAGTTATGCATGGAAAAATATGGTCAAAGACCCGTTACAAAGTAATAAAGCCACTCTATTGCTCCAAGATGGTATATCTCAGATTGGAAGGTTTAAAAATCTCAGATGCATTGATTAGTATGATTCTACGCTCATGCCCAGATATACACACTCTTATCCTTGATCGAAGTGATGGTCTTTCTAACATATCAATTATAGAAATTGCGAGATTTTTTCCGAAACTACAGCATCTGAGTCTTAATTCATGTATATGTCTTACTAATCGATGTATCACTGAAATTGCTCGCTCATACCCAAAACTTAGACATCTTGAGCTTGGTAATTGTTCGATTGGTAATAAAGCTGTTGAGGAAATAGCCTGCAAATGTACTAATTTGAAATATCTTAGTTTGGAGAAATGTGTAGGGATTAGTGAAGAAGTGATGAAAAAACTTAATCCTAAAATTAGCGTGAGCAAGCCTTCGGCTAAAATCGAATATCCTGATTATTCAGATGATATATGGTCCAATTCCACAGGTCGAAATCCGTATTTCGGGTATATATCAGGGGCCAATTGGGTAGTTATCGGGATGCTGATAGGTAACTGATAGGTAACTGATATGTTCCTGATAGGTGTAATATAAATATATCAGGGATCTATCGGTCACCTAATAAAAATCAGGCACCTGATATATTTTTTAATTTTTTTTAAAAAATTTTATGCCCCCGATAAGTGTATTAAATATAACTGATATTTATTCTGGTGCCCGATTTTTGTAATATATATCGTGTACACGATTTGTTAAATATATATCGGGTACACAGGTCAAAATCAAAAATATCAGATATATATTGAATGCCCAATATTTATAGTTTTTATATTGTGAATAATAAATAATATTTCTCTGTCTGGTGCCTGATATTGTTATTAATATCGAATTTCAGGTACCCAATATTTTAAAAAATCATAAATTCATAAATAGAATTATAATAAAAATTTGTAATTCCTGCATAACTTGATAATCAGTTTTTTTAAAAATTTTTCTCTTTCTTTTTTTTTTTTTTAAGAAAAATAAATAAAACTTATACTTACCTTGTCTCTTGCCTTTACCTTTCCTCTCCTCCCTTTACTTTTCCTCTCCTCACCTTTCGCTGGTTCGTGGGAATACTTGTGAGGTCAAAATTATTGAAATCGGCTCACGGACATATGGTTAAAGATGAGTTTTTTTTTCTTTTTTTTTGTTTTTTTTTTAAAAAATAAATAAAACTTATACTTACCTTGTCTCTTGCTTTCTTCTCCTCACCTTTCGTTGATTTGTGAAAACACTTGTGAAAGTCGAAATTGTCAAAATCAGTTTCATGAATATATGGTTAAAGGTAAATTTTTTTTTCTTTTTTTTTTTAAAAAAAAAATAAATAAAACTTATGTCTCTTGTCTTTACCTTTCCTCTCTTCCCTTTACCTTTCCTCTCCTCACCTTTCGCTGGTTCGTGGAAATACTTGTAAAGGTCGAAATCGTCAAAATTAGCTTCGCGAATATATGGTTAAAAGTGAGTTTTTTTTTTAAAAATAAATAAAACTTATGTCTCTTGCCTTTACCTTTCCTCTTCTTCCTTTATCTTTCTTCTCCTTACCTTTCACTAGTTCGTGAGAATACTTGTGAAGTTAAAATCGTCAAAATTAGCTTTGCGGATGTACGGTAAAAGGTGGAGAGTTTTTTTTTTCTTTTTTTTTTTGTTTTTTTTTTAAAAAATAAATAAAACTTATATTTACCTTGTCTCTTGCCTTCTTCTCTTCACCTTTCGCTAGTTTGTGAGAACACTTGTAGAAAGTGAGTGGAATTAAGGAAAAACGAGAAAAATAATGGAAGGGGGAAGCAAGATGAATTGGGAAAACTAAGTGAATAGGGGAAGTAGTAAAGTTAGAGGAATCAAAGGAGAAAGAAGAAATTAAAGGGAGAAAGTTAAAATGAAAAGAAAAAGCTAAATGATAATTAATTATTTATTTTATAATAAATAATGGAAAGAACTAACAACAAATAATAATGAAAAAGATGATGATAATAATTATGGTAACAATAATTTCATAATAAATTAATTATTTATTTATTTTATAATAGA